GAACAGTCCCAGTGACACCACAACCGGGCCTGGGAGGAGTCCGTGGTCACTGCTGCTGAAACAGCCGCTGTGCCACTAGCCTCACCGGGTGCTGGGTGCCCCGGCTGGCATGGTGCCTGGCCTGCCCACAGACACTGGATGTGGCTGCCACAGCCGGAGCCACAGAACATAGTATCTGTCTCTCATCACCCTGTGCCCGGGGCTCTGGACTCCAGGTTCGGAGCAGGTGCATCCAACTGACCAAGTAAGGGCTCCTTGACTCAACCACAGCCCATAATGCAGGAGGTCCCCCAAATAATCTGATGATGGAAGAAACAGGATCCAGGTATTAATAATTTAGGAAGATTATTTTAACAGCAATGTAGAGAGTGGATTTCAGGAGGAGATAATAGAGACTGAGTGAGAAGATAGAAACTACCCTGTTTCCCAGAAAATAAGACAGTGTCTTATATTAATTTTTGCTCCCAAAGATGCGCTAGGTCTTATTTTCAGAGGATGTCTTATTTTTCCATGAAGAAGAATACAGTACACATTTATTGTTAAATGAAAATAAAGAAAATTTATTACCTGTATACGGCATGGTAGTACAGTAGTTGTCAACACAAACCAGACAAACTGTGAATCCTACAATATCAAGAATTTACTCATTTATTCAATGACAGTCATGTCATTATCTTCTGGAGCATCATCATAACAATCCAATTCCTGAATTTCCTGGTGAATTTCTTGTGACTCCATTTCTTTCAGAATCAGTGGACCAAATCTCTCATGTTTAGCCTAGGAGGGCCTTATTTTCGGGGGGATGCCTTATATTTCACTCAGAAGGAAATCTGTAAGTAGGTCTTATTTTCGGAGGATGTCTTATTTTCGGGGAAACACGGTAGTGACTGTCTAGGCAAGAGATGGTGAAATCCCAAACCAAGACAGGAGTGCATATTGTTGAGGGAAGGTCAGAGTAGCAATATTTCAGAGGCAGAAACAATAGAAAATGGTGAAGGAATTACTAGCTGTCTCCAAATTTTCCATCAAGTAAGTGAATTGTTGATTACAACTTCAACATGGGATATTCAGCCAGAGAGACAGAGAGGGAGCAGATGTGCTGGGGTTACCTCAGGTGCCCCTGGGCATCCGGCTGGAGATGTGGGACAACTGTTGGTTTTGGCCTGGTGCACACCCCTATTCTGGAAACAGATTCTTTATTTTACTTTTGGGAAACAAACCTTTCCCACACTCCGTCCTTTTAGTTCCAATAGGTCTGAGTCCCCCACTCTCCATTTCAGAAGTAAGCATGACCTCCCCAGGTCACAGAGATTGGTGTGAAAATGGAGGGATGACTAGGAGGACCCTGGCGCCTTTGCTGGGACTTTGGGAAGACAGAGCTTTCTTCCCACCAGGGCTGCCAGGCTGGAGAGGTGTCAGCTTGTAGCTGCAGGTGGCCATCCTGTCACCACTTCCTGAGCTTGCCTGAGAAGGAGCCCCACAGAGGAGACCAGTTCCCAGAGGAGGCGACAGAGCCCTGTTGATCATAAACCTCAGCCTGGTTGAAGAATTTAGACTTTATCCTGAGGCCCTGTGGGGGGTTCTCAGTCAAGGTCACAGCCGTGAGCAGCAGAGCCGATAGAGCCCTGACTGAGACTGTGCAGCCAACCCTGGGACTTCTCAGTTCCAGTGGTCGGCAAACTCATTAGTCAACAGAGCCAAATATCAACACTACAATGATTAAAATTTCTTTTGAGAGCCAAATTTTTTAAACTTAAACTTCTTCTAACGCCACTTCTTCAAAATAGACCGTGGTATTTTGTGGAAGAGCCACACTTAAGAGGCCAAATAGCCGCATGTCTCTCATGAGCCACAGTTTGCCAACCACAGAGTTAGACAAACCAATACGTTTCCTATTTTCTTAAGCCAACTGCAGTTGAAGATGAAAAGTTCTTAGACCACTGGGCTCGGGGATTTAGAAATTAACAAGAAATTCGGGGCTGGATGTTGGGAAGTTCTAGCTGAGGCTGTGAGTGTGACCCCAAAGTGTGAATGGAGAATAAGACCAAGGACATATGTGGGCACCAAGACAGAAACACACTTAGACATTCGGGGACCTTCTCACACAGTGCTAAGTTTGTAGCCAACTGAGAAACTTAAAATATCTATAATAATATAAGTATAATATGCTAATTATACTGGATGTTCTCCCAGATGCCCTTTCTTCCTCCTGGATGAAGCTGGGGCTAAGAAGGAAGCCACAGTTCCGTGCAGGAGGGAAGCCAGTGCCAGCAGCTGGGGGAAGGAAAGCCTACCCTTGCAGGAATTTCATGCATCAGGTTGCCAAAACCAATGCATATATGTCTACCTAATAAAAGAGTAACACACTAATTGACCATACCTTCGTGATGCCCACAAGCCAATCAGGAGTGGGTATGCATATTAACCCAACAAAGATGGCAGTTAATTTGCATACACAGGTGCAGAGCTGGGCTGGAGATGGGGCAGGATGCTTGCGTAGTCGTCATCATGGCAACAATGCAGGCATCCTGCACCACTACAGCTGCTCTGGGCAGCTCAGGTCAGAGTGAAGGTGGTGCTGGCAGCTAGGGGAACGAAGGCCCATTCTTGCATGCATATTCATTTGTGCACCAGGCCACTAATATATGTATTTTTTAAAATGAATTTTAGATAGAAACATCAATGATGAGAGAGAATCATTGATCAGCTGCCTCTTTCATGCCCCTACTGGGGATCAAGTCCACAATTCAGGCATGTGCCCTGACTGGGAATCAAACCTGTGATCTCTTGGTTCTTGGATCAATGCTCAAGCACTGAGCTACACCGGCTGGGCAGACTGAGAAAGTTTTAATTTAGGCAGTTAAAAAGACTGGTGTTGTCTCTTTCATTTCTACAGAAAACTACTGAGATGCTATTCAATGTTTTGTAAGCATTTTTCAAAACAAGGGAACATAGATGTCTCTCTGAGAACAGTTTTCAAGAAGGTGCACGCTTTCCAAATGCCACGGGCTGCCTGGCTTCAGTGCCGCTCCACGCTGGCTTCAGAAAAGCAGCGTCAACAAGTAGGCGCAGACATTTCTCCCCTGCGAATGGTGTGTTTAGCACATTTAACTCACTTAACCCATTTCTTCAATGCAATGAACATTTAAATACCAGCACATTTTAAAGACAAGAACCAGTCAAACCATGGAGCTGTCAGCCTCCTTTGAGTTTCTTTAGGCTCTTACTTGATTTTGGTGAACTTTGACTTTTGTAGCAGAAGCCTGGTTTATTTCACATGCTCGCATTAAGTGCGTTGTTGTTGTCATCCACTGTTGTTGAAGCAGACACCCAGGAGGTCATTTTGGGGAAGAATTACAAAAATAGCTGAGTCCCATCCCAGCAATGGGAGGGGGTGGAGGTGGAATGCTTAGGTGTGTGGGGCCCATGGACGAGGGCTCTACTCCCAGCCTGGGCCACATCTCACCTCCACTGAGACAGTCTCCCTCCCAGTTACACCGAGAAGCACTGGCTGTGCCGGGCTGTAGCAGGGCTCAATAACTGATAGATGTCGGTAAAGAGTGCAATTGTTGTTGTCTCGTTTTTATGAAATTCAGACAACATAGATACACATGTAAAGTAAGAGGGAAAGTTTCCCTTCTGCCTATATCCCTTGCTCTCAGGTAACCTTGGGCAAGGTTTCGGACATATTTCTACTTGTGCAAATGTGTGTATGCACACACCACACATTGTTCACTCTTATGTGATATGCACATCTTTACAAAACCAGCACCTATAGATACATACAGAGAATGTCTCATTCTTCTGAATATTGTTCAAACAGTTTGAAGGGAGAAGGCAACCAACCTTTTTTAGTAACAGTTTTACATAGTCATACATGACATACAATCCATCCATTTAAAGTGTACAACTCAAAATTTTAAGTGTATTCATGGACTTATATAGCCATCACCACAACCAATTACAAAGCATTTTTTAAAAATATATATATTTTATTGATATTTTACAGAGAGGAAGGGGGAGAGATAGAGAGTTAGAAACATGGATGAGAGAGAAACATCGATCAGCTGCCTCTTGCACACCCCCTACTGGGGATGTGCCCACAACCAAGGTACATGCCCTTGACCGGAATCGAACCTGGGACCTTTCAGTCTGCAGGTCGATGCTCCATCCACTGAGCCAAACCGGTTTCGGCTACAAAGCATTTTCATCATGTCAGAAAGAAACTCTGAACTCCTTCATCACCTCAATCCCCATTCCTCCCAGTCCTATGCAACCATTAGTCTAGTATCTGTCTCTCCGTTTGCCTATTTGGACATTTCATATTAATGGACTCATCTACCATGTGACTTTTTTTTCATGTGGCTTTTTATGATTGGCTTACTTCACTCAGCACAATGTTTTCAAGGTCCACCACATTGTAGCATGTATGAGTACTTTATTGCTTTTTATGGTTGAATAATACTCTATTGTATGAATATACCAAGTTTTGTTTACCCACTTAATAGCTGATAAACATTTGGATTGTTTTCAACTTTGGGCTATTATAAATAAAATAGTGGCCCAGTGTACAGATTCATACACATTAAAATGAAATTAATTAGAAGAAATATTTTAATATCACTATTAGCCCTTTCTCTATAATAGAAGTGTCAACCAAATTCACAATTGATGATGACGGATTGAAACACACCTGTGCAATTGGCACCAATGAGAGCTTTATATGTATCACGCATGTGCAAGTCAACTTAGCCTTTTATAGATATAGAATAAACTTGCTTAGTTAGACCTGCTTTCTGATTTAGCCAAACTTTTCCAACCCAGTGAAGCACTCCAACTTCTCTTTCAGGTAA